TACCGAAGGACAATCACACCTGCCATTGTAATAATTGATTCGATAAGATATCAAATCAAATATAATAATAATAATAATAATAATATTTATTGTAGAGGTTTCAACAATAAGTTACATTATATATAATACAATAAACATGGAACTCCAAAAAGTAAAAAAACTTGTGCGGAGAGATGAATAATAATAATTAATACCAAGGTTATTTTTTACATACATTAAATACGCGCATATATACTTGACTAAATATAAATAGAATTATATCATTAGGCTATCATACATTTACACAAAATGGAAAATAAATATATAATGAAAAATGACATGTTACATAAGAACGACGGTTATAACGGTCATGTTTGTGATATTAATGGCATTCCCAACTCCTTTCCTAATGCCTCATATCTTAAATCCTTAGTTCAATAATATTGTGGATATTGCTTCGTGGTTCTGATGTTGTAAACTTTCTCAACTCTCTCTTAAAAGTAAATCTCGAAGGTATGCTTTTTAGAGCCGCCGGTAAGTAGTTATAAAGCTTTGGGCCAAGATAAATTGAACTTTTTTGTCCAATCGATTTAGTCATGAAAGGGGTTAGGTATGTCTGATTTTTATTTCTGGTATTATACTGATGTTCGTTAATTTTCAAGTGTACTTGGGAATGGTGCTGTTTCATGTTGCAGTGAAAGAAAAATATTTGTCTTGGATCCATAATTCTCAATTCCTTGAAAAGTTCATCAGATGGTTAGGTCATATCTTTTCTGAACATTATTTTCAGTATTTTTTTTGTACAATTATAAGTTTATTGAGGAACGTTTTTCCGACACCACCCCATGATAATATTCCATACAAGATATGCGACTCCACTAGGGAATAATATAACGTTCTAAGCTGAGTCAAAGTTAAAATATCTCTCAAAACCTTGAATTTATACATGAGATGCTGTATTTTTCTAATCACGAAATAAATATGTTTATCCCATTTCAGGTGTTCATCGATCATTATTCCCAAATATTTGATTTCTGTACATGGTTGTATGCTGAGGTTCAGGTCTATATTTAGGCTTCCGAAATTTGGGGACGTAGCTTTATTAACACTTAGAGGTAGGTAGTAGGTTTTCGTGAAGTTTATCGTTAGGAGTTTATATTCAAGCCATTCTTTGATGATTTTGAAGTCAGTTTCAACAAGATTTTTCAGAGAAGTCCAGTCATGAGAACTGTAAAATACTGCTGTATCATCTGCATATGTTATAATTTTCCCACATCTTGGGACTGAGAAAAGACCATTCAGGTATATATTGAATAATACCGGTCCTAGGATAGTACCTTGTGGTACACCATACTGTACTAGTTGGAGTCCACTGTAAGTATTGTTGATTTTAACGCACTGAAATCTGTTTGAAAGGTAAGATTTGAACAATTGTAATTGATTTCCTCTAATTCCCATATCTTCCATGGACTCCAGTAGTAAGGTATGACTCACCGTATCGAATGCCTTAGATAAGTCAATAAAAATACACAGTGATGGTTTACTTTTGTCCAAAGCAGAGTACATTTCTGAGGTCAAACTCAGAACCGCGTCCTGGGCAGATATACCTTCACGAAAACCATACTGTTTATCCGAGAGAATTTTGTATTTGGTAAGATACCCACAGAGTCGTTTATGCAAAATTTTTTCAAAAACTTTAGAAAAGCTAGTTATTACCGAAATAGGTCTATAATTTATAACTTGTTGACGGTCACCGTTTTAATAAATTGGAAATACAATTGACTGCTTAAATTTTTCTGGAAAAACTCCTGCTGTTATACTGATATTAATAATATAGGCTAGTGGTTCTGATATTGATTTGGTGATCGTTTTCAGAGTTTCAGATTTGATACCATCAATTCCGGGAGCTTTGTTGTTCTTGAGAGACATTATTACTTGTGCGATCTCTTGGCTGCTCGTAGGATCAATAAACATAGAGTTCATCATGTTAGGAGTCGGCGGTTTGTCATAATTTGGGTTTGTTTGAATATTTCTTGCTAGTTTTTTCCGACTGTTATGTAGTGTGTGTTGAAAATATCGGTTATATTTTGTGTTTCATGAATTTCCTGGCCATCACTGATGATAGTTTTTATATTATTATCTGTTTTTCTTTTTGAGCATAGTTCTTTAACAGTGTCCCACAAATATTTTTGATTTTTAGCATTGTTTTCGATTTTTCTATTGTATTCTATTTGTATCATGAGGAGCCCTAGTAATAAACAGGGATTCTGTATAAATCATGAGAATCATCCATAAAAGTATTTCATTATTGTCTGTGTAAGCCTATATGGAATTCCATATATACAGCATGCTGGCTACTTCAAGAGGTGTATATACCTGAGGAGTGGAAAAGAAAAATCATCTGGTAATGACAAGAGAAAATCATCTGACTGCTGCACAGTGGCGTTCAGTGATTGTCTCCCAATCGTTAATAATGAATTCCACACAGCATGCTGGAAATACTTTTTTCAGGCATTCTCATGGGGAGCCCAAGTAGAAGATCATACCAGGGATTCTGTATAAATCATGAGAATCATCCGTATTTCATTATTGTCTGTCAATAGATGAGCGATTCTGTATAAATCATGAGAATCATCCATTTTTCTAAAAGTATTTCATTATTGTCTGTCAATAGATGAGCTTATATGCATATATACAGCATGCTTCAAGAGGTGTATACCTGATGAGTGGAAAAAAAATCGAATCAAGAGATCATCATCCATTCATCCAAATTTCATCAACCATAGTTTATAAAAACATAATGAATATGTTTCGAATTATAAATCTTCATGAGCGACTTCCTTCATGACAAGAGAGGAGTGAAAAAGGAAATTATACCAAGGAATTGAGAGAGAGTTCGGTATGAATCCATTTCTCCAATACAAAGTCACACAAAAATTTAATGAATTTGTTTCGACGTACCTGCAAAATCTACATTATCATGAACCTCCTCAGGCAAATCGAGAATCACAGTTTCGATAGAGATATCCTTTCGTGCGCTCCTAACGCTCGAAATATTGAACATGCCTAGAGAATTCATCCATACTGACAATGTGTAGACACACCGAACTCTAGATCATCGAAATGAGCATTTCAAACCTAATAAGAGTAGAGATACATTATACCGAATAATTGAAAAAACAAAGATCAAACATAACTAATTCGTTTGAAGCGCAAGTTGCAATAGTAATTGCCTTCAAGTAGTAAATACCAGAGTTCCATGACAAACCTTAGTAGGGAATCATTGAAAAAAGAATTCATGGCAAATCATAGGTGCGTTCTAGGCAGTTTAAAATCATGAGAATACATAAAGCACTGGACAGAAAAATCCAAATCCATCACTATCTGTACCAGTCAGACGAACTCGACCAAGTCCTTTCATTGTTGTCAACCTCAAAATATGTCGAACAGCACATTATTCAACTATAGAACGGTGAAGCTCGGGAATTCATTGCCTTAGGAAATGATCTTTTTGTTCAGAATCCCAAGACCTCACTATTATTTCAGCAGATTCCAAATGAGAGCTGGATGTGAGTAGCATTGTTATCAAGTTTTAAATATAATTAATAAACTCGTATTGAAGCACCCTATCAGCACCCTATCAGCACCCTATATCCTTAGATATCCTTGGCTTTGCCTAATCGAACAAGCAGCACATTATTGTGGAAACTTGAATTCAATATGTAGCCAATTTTCTATCTGGACACTATTGGAGTCTGCTGAAATAATAGTGAGGTCTTGGGATTCTGAACAAAAAGATCATGAGTTCCAAAAAAAAACCAACGCCAATGAGTATCATTGAGTATACATAAAGCGTCGTGCTTGAAAAAAAATCCAAATATATCCATCAATACCAGTTAGACGAACCAGCACATTCTTTCATTGTCATCAACCTCGACATATGTCGAACCAGCACAAAACTCGTGAGCTCTGGAATTCATTGCGAAGTTGAAAAAAAAATCCAACGGCAATGAGTATCATTGAGAATACATAAAGCACTGGACAGATGAATCTATCCATCACTATCAATACCAGTCAGACGAACTCGACAATTCAGCACTTCCTTTAGTTGTCAACCTCGAAATATGACGAACAGCACTTTATCAAAACTCGACTATAGAACGGTAAAGCTCTGTAATTTATTGCCTGAGTAACAAGAATTTTTGATCTCCAAAAGTAAAAAAAAAACACCTACCTCCTCTCCCTATATCCTGCCTAGGTACGCACGATGTTCTTATTATAGGAATTTCGTGCGCTCCAACTGATAGAATTCATTGAAAACATCGAATCATTGAAAATCAATGTTCTAGATAATGTTGTTTAAATCAAATGGAAGTACGTAGCACAAGTTGCATAAGCAATTGCCTTCGAGGAGTACTCGTAAATGGGAGAGCAAGGGGTAACGAACAGGAATTTCGTGCGATCCAACCGATAAAAAAAACATCGAATCATAGGAAATCAATTTTCTAGATAATGTTGATTTAATCAAATGGATTCGGGAGTATGTAGCACAAGTTGCATAAGCAAATGCCTTCGAGGAGTACTCGTAAATGGGAGAGCAAGGGGTAACTAACAGGAATTTCGTGCGATCCAACCGATAAAAAAAACATCGAATCATAGGAAATCAATTTTCTAGATAATGTTGATTTAATCAAATGGATTCGGAAGTATGTAGCACAAGTTGCATAAGCAATTGCCCTCCAAGTGCATTTTTATAAACTAATAACATACTTTCCATTTCTGTCGACTAGCATCCCCATGGAAGTCCGTCGACCGAGAATCTCGTGGATATGCTAATTAAGTTCCAGCCTCCGCAAAATTGTATGAACGAGTGACATCGGAATGATTTCGCAATGGTCACAGCTATTGCTTTCACTTCTACTCGGTGCACTTATGCTTTCGAATGGAGCGCAGTGGCGCAACCAGAAATATGAGCAAGGTGTACTTATACTGTATATTCGAACTCTCATAGGTAAGGAAACATGTATGAGAGAGCAAGGGGTACTCTCATAGGTAAGGAAACATATATGAGAGAGCAAGGTGTACTCTCATAGGTAAGGAAACATGTATGAGAGAGCAAGGAGTACTCTCATAGGTAAGGAAACATATATGAGAGAGCAAGGTGTACTCTCATAGGTAAGGAAACATGTATGAGAGAGCAAGGGGTACTCATATTGAAATATCAGAACTCCCATAGGTAAGGAAACATATGTATGGGAGAGCAAGGGGTACTCATTTTGTACGTTCAAAATTTCTGCACTCTCATAGGTAAGAAAGCATGTAGGAGAGAGCAGCTGTGCAATCCCTTTGTTTATCTACTCTTGAGTACTCTTATCAGGAATGGGAATCAAGAAATAAAAAACGAAATCAAGCAACTCCGTAGTGAATTCTCGCACGAAGTTGAAAATATTAACGAAAAAATCAACAGTCTGCAACTGGAATCCGATAAACTAAAATCAAAAGTCTGTAACCTAGAGAAAAAATCGAAAAAATACAATCTCGTTGTATATGGTATCAAGGAAACCGAACCAAATCCAATAAAACAAGTTCTTGAAATTATTAATAATACCATAGAAGTCAATTGCGACATAAAAGATCTTCGGGACACTTATAGAGTTGGACGGCTGAAGGAGGGAAGTATTCGCCCAATAATTTGTGAGGTTGTGAACTATCAATTGAAGCAGGAAATTCTCATCCAGTCCAAAACCCACTGGAGTGTACTGAAGCAACGTCAAATATATTTTTCCCATGATTATCCCGAAGACGAATACAAAAAACGGAAATTTATGAATGAACGTAGGAAAGAAGCTTTAGCAAGAAACACACCCGCATTCTTCAGAAAAAACGTGCTAGTCATAAACGGGAAAGATTATACATACGAAGATTTTAAATTAAATCCCCAAGAAAATCTCACTGAACAAGGGCAAAATACAGGTTCGATTACACCAGGTGTCACCGCCGCTGCTGAGAATAAATTTAACTTCAAACGCAAACAGGAAGAAGAAGCAAGAAACGAAGACTTGAAGATTCTGAAAAAAACAACTCGCTCTCAGAAAAAATAATTTGAAAAGTTATTAATTTATATTCAATCGTTGTGTCGTTACCTGTTGAACCTCTTTTTTTCATATTTATTTGTTGTGTCATTACCTACATATTATTTTAGCAATAAGTTATTTTATTTTTTATTCTTTTATCTTATATGAATCCTTATATAAGAGATTACGAATATGAGCTGGTTAAAACTAAGGAAATAGAGAATATAAAGGATTATAATGAATATACATTGTTAGAAGAAAATCAGAAATTCAACTTTAAAGTTCTTCATCAGAATATTAGGAGTATAGCTAAAAATTTGAATGAACTTGAGGTCTACTTATCAGAATCAAATTTTAACTTCCACTGTATCGTATTAACAGAATCTTGGAACATTGATGACATAAATATGTTCAAACTAGATGGCTATGATACCTTGTATAACGAAGGTGGCATTAATAAAGCTGATGGTGTTGTGATTTTCATAAAAGAAGATTTATGTTACAACCAGCAAATAATTGATATAGGTAGCCATAAATCTATTGAAATATCAATAACAATTGACAATAAAAGCTTGTATTTGACTGGTTTGTATCGACCACCATCAACAGATGAAAATTCATTTGTCAGGAGCCTTCGTGAATACCTTGTGAACACCAGCAATTATAATGCAGATTATCATATTATTCTGGGAGATATGAACTTAAATATATTAGTTGAGGATGATACAGTCACAGAGTATTTAGATAATTTTTATGAGTTTAATTTCCACTCAGCTATAAATACTGTAACTAGACAACAAAGTGGTACCTGCGTTGATCACATCTTTATTAAAAGCAAATCAAATACAACTGATATATTGGCTATATTATTGAAAAGTGCCATAACCGATCATTATACCACTACGGTACATTTGCCTATTCAGAATCATGAATCTATTACAAATTCAGAAACAAAACAACAAAAATTCATTAACTACATAACTTTGAAGAACGAGCTCACACAATATGATTGGTCCCACTTGATTTCCATACAAGACACCGCTGAAAGCGCCACTTACTTCCTGAAAATAATAAATGAATTAATAAATAAACATACAAATACAGTCAAACTGAGGCATAAAGACATAAAAAGAAAACAATGGATAACACAGGGATTAGTAAAATCTATCAATACTAGAGACCAGTTGTTCAAGAACCTAAAGAAATCTCCAAATAACCTGATATTGAAAAATCAATTTACTGATTATAGAAATATGCTGAATAGACTTATAAAAGATTCTAAAGTAGGTTTCTTCAAAAAACGTATAATAAATTCGCGGAACGACTCAAAAGCATTATGGGAAACTGTGAAGAACGTTTCTGGTAATAAAAAAGAAATCAAAATAAAACGGGTTAGAAAAGAGGGAGGTGAACTCACGTATGATAAGAAAGAAATTGCAGATTGTTTTAATAAACATTATGCGTCTGTTGGACGAAATCACGCAAAAAATATTCAAAAGCCTCAAATTCCACCACTTGAGAGAAATTCCTTATCACAATCAATATTCTTTTCGCCAACAACAGAAACAGAAATAATAGAAATTATTACATCTCTGAAGAACAAAAAAGCACCTGGTCTTGATGGTATCAAGTCAGAAACATTGAGTCAGATTAAGAATGAAATTTCCTTTCCCCTGAATATTGTAATTAATAAAGTTATAGAAACTGGAGAATTTCCCAATGAGCTGAAAGTAGGAGTCATCAAGCCAATCTATAAAAAAGGAGACAAAAGTGAAACTTCTAATTACAGGCCAATTACACTAATTTCGAGTATAGCAAAATTATTGGAAAAAATAATAAAGAAAAGAATAGTTTCCTACCTCGATAAACATAAACTCATTTCAAAAAACCAATTTGGTTTCAAAGAAGGGGTATCTACTCAAGATGCAATATGTTTCCTCACGACAAAAATATCGGAAAACTTAGAAAGGAGTAAACCATCGATTCGTGTATTCTTGGATCTTGCAAAGGCCTTCGACACTGTGAACCACTCACAACTGTTGGAGGCCTTGCAAGACCTTGGCTTTCGGGGAAATACTCTCAATTTGATGAAAAGTTACCTAAGTGAAAGGGAACAGTATGTTGAAATTGACTCTATAATTAGTGGAAAACGATTTGTAGAATGTGGAATTCCACAAGGAACCGTCTTAGGGCCTATTCTTTTCACTATTTATATGAACAATATACTCACATTCAATACATCTGGAACGCTAATCTGCTTCGCTGATGACACAGCTGTGTTGTATGACGCTGATACTTGGGATGAACTTAAAATAAAAGCAGAACAGGATATGAGTAAGCTGTTTGATTGTTTCAATCAAAAGACTCTGTCAATTAATTATGAAAAAACTAGCTACTTACCGTTTTCCTGCTACATTAATACCTTGCCTCATTATGAATCGCTAAATATCGACAACAATGGCAATGATATCACTATCCGTTCATCAGAAAAGGTCAAATATTTAGGAGTGACTATTGACAGACATCTGCGGTGGAATTTTCATATCGATCAAGTAACAAAAACATTGCGGAGTACTCTATACAGATTCAAATATCTCAGAAATATTTTGGACACCACCCAAATGAAAATTATTTATTATGCGCTTATTGAATCGCGATTAACATATGGAATTCTTGGATGGGGTGGGGTAGCATCCACCCATTTAAAAAAACTAGATGTATTGCAGAAGAAATACCTAAGAATTCTCCTCTACAAACCATTCAAATACGCATCGAAATTATTGTTTGAAGAATCTAAAATGCTTGATATGAGACAATTATTTTTTACTAAAATTGTAAACGAACAGTTCAAAAATCGAAAATCCTTAAATTATGTAGATCACACCCATAATACAAGATCCAAAGCCAATGCAGCACTCACCACAATATATTCTTCAAAGACACTAATCCAACGTACTTACGCCTATCTTGCAAATAGACTTTATAATTACTTGCCACTAGAACTTAGGAAAGCACATACCATATTGTCATTCAAAAAAAAAGTCAAATCACATCTACTCAGTATAGATAGATTTATCATTCACAAATTGATTGATCCTATATTCGGCTAGCTACCTTTTTATTGATATTTAATTTTTTTAGTTTTAATCTCATCTCACATGTATCATTTTTTAACCTGATATAATACTTAATTTTCATTTCATCATTCATTACTTCAAACCACCAATGTCATTATTGATACCAGTTGTAATTTATCCTCGTTTCATGTATTTACTGTTTTATCGATGTAACTGTAGGAAATGGAGTTTAGTAGTGTTTGTCGGCAATCCACGCCCTGGCTATGCCTTAGTGGAGTTGTTGTTTATTCACATAACTATGTAGCTTACCTATATGTTATTCCCACAAAGTCACAATTATATTAGAAGCAACAAGGTTCTTCCCTGTACTTATTCGATGATGATGAATAAACATTATTATTATTCTAGAAACCGAGGCGTTACTGGTGGCCCACCCTGTATATATATATATTCATTTGGAATAAATCGCATCAACCATTAGAGGTTATCAGCGATGGAACAATAATTACATTACATTACAAATCAGAGTTTACAGTGTCTAAATTTCGTTCAGGATATCAATTGACTTGAGAAATTTCATGAGATTCAGTATGTTGTTTACTTGAAGATTTTTCTGAAGGTCATTCGATAGTCCATTGGATACTCTTTGTCGCTCAAGCCCGGGACATTCAGAGATGATGTGTTTCACCGAGATGTTAACTCCACAGAACTCGCATCTGATGGCTTCCTCTTTCCTGAGGAGATGTTGATGTGTTAGTTTGGTATGTCCAATGTGTAGTCTCGAAAGGATAACTTGTTGTCTTCTGCTTACACTTTCTACTCTATTTTTGACGATGTTTGGGTTTATGCTCCCATATATAACAGAGTTTTTTGTCAGATCAGACTCAGGTATTGGTAAAGGAATACAACCTTCATTTCTTGTTCGATAGTTCCGTTCACTCAGAGTCTTACCATATTTCTCATGAATAAGGCTTGCAGTTTCCAAAATAAATAAGCAAGTCAGTGTCAGAACTTGTTGATTAATAAAAAGAGGTTTGCAATGATCACGATACTGTGCCCCACCCAGATACCGAATCGCTCTTCTCTGTAGTAAAAAAACAGAATTGAATGAATATTCACTATATAAACCCCAGAAAACAATACCATATCTCAAGTGAGACTCGATTAAAGAGAAATATACCATCCTGGCTGAGGATGTATTCGATAGATACGATTTTTATCGCAAAACAACCTGAGGCAATTCTTTTATTCAAAGAAATAACCTGTTCAGCAAATTTGATCTTACTATCTATAATCAACCATAAAAAGTTTGTGTTAGGTTAACTCATAATAATAAGGTCCGCCAAGTATAAATCAATATAATTGAACTTGAATGTAATCAACTTAGTTTTATTCAAATTGAAGCAAAGTTTATAAGAGTCGCACCAGTGCTTAATTTTTGTAATATCCAAAGCAATTGTTTCCTTCAGGTGTTTTATATCTCTACCACGCCATATAATAGTTGTTCATCCATGACCAAATCTTTTTACTTGCACCAACCAATAGCTTCATCTCCATAAGATTCTCTAGTAGCCCTAAAACGATGGAATATGCTATGGTTACAAATAAAAACGAGGTTTCTGAAACTCATACCTGCTTGACTTAACATTTTTCAACTCAGCTGAGTGAAAATCAGGAATACTCTTGTAAAATTCGAACACCTTTGTTTAATCTACTACGGGCAAATTCTGGTTAGTAGCTTTTTCGTAGCCTGTTTCTATTTTATGATGTTCAGATAAATTTCAAACAATATTCAGCAACCGTAATACCACGTAATAATAAAAAAACAAAAACATTAACCTCACAATCACACAACTAATGACACAATGACAATAACGACATGAATACACAGAATACTCACAACCACAGAATCAGTGAACAACTGTCATATACTTCATCAGAACGGTGTTG